CCCGGCAGCCTGTCCGGGCTGCTTTTGCTTCTTGGCAGCTGCTTTTATGTACATATACTATAAGCAAAGGTTTCACTCCAGTACAGTGTATTTGTCTGTGGGCAAGGAAGCAGGTGAGATTCATACTGTTGCAAATTCTATGTTGATAATTTTATGATTTTTTTTTTTTGCTGGGGAAAGGCAGGGAAATTCCCCTGTGCACACTCTGTTCTCTAGCTGTAAATGTTAAATGACTTCCCAGTAACTGCATTTTTGTATCTCTCTATTGTGGGCAATATTTGCCTCCAAACACAGCCCAGATGCTCCCCATTTTGCATGGTGTCCAGAATCACAGCCATGGTCTGTTCCAGCTTACAAAAGCAATCCTCTTGCTCTCCCAGGGCTCCTGTCAGAACCCCCTCCCCACCTCCAGCACACCCTACCTACTAAGTAATTCACATTAACCCTGTAAAAATAGCCAACATTTACAGTAGCTAGGCAATGCATCCTCCAAAGCAGGTTCACAGCTTCAGCTTTCTGGTTTCAGGAACGCCGAGGATGACATGGCTGACTCCGAACATAATACAAACACACATATACTTGCCTTGGCTTTCTCTGGATGCTGTTATCCCACAAAAGTCAGGATTTAAATATGCTACAGATGATACTTTGGCAGAAATCTTGGACCACACGGATTTCTACAGAAGCAGAACATAGCCATCCCCACAAGAGTGCATTTGCATGGGCAGTCTCCTAGTTGTGCACTGCCCATGCTTAAATAAGTCAGAATTGGACTTTGTCCTTCTGCTCTATCTCACAAAATTCCCTCTGAAGGAAAGTCAGGGGCACTTCAGCAAACTGATTTGTATGCTACCAAGGAACACACGTGTTGGAGAGCTCAGTTTCCTCGCTCCATTTCTGCATTTCTGCTACACCTGTGCTGCTCCTCATATTGCAAGCGCAGGGAGAAGGACAAAGAGCATTTACCTTCTCTTAAGTTGATTAAAAGCAGGAGCGCTGCTGCTTACTGAACTCATGGAAAAGCACCACGTGTTCATATCTGAAAGCTGGTTCATATCTTCTCGTTTCCCCTCAATGACCTTGTCTCCTAACAGGAAAGGTGCCAGAAAGCAATGAGGAAGGGGAAAACTGCAACTGATTCCACAATAGTTAGTTGAGAAACAGCTTGCCTTCCACCAGAGTCCCCCCTCCCCTCCCCTTTCACATTTTCCAACAAAGAGAATAGAAGAAAATATTTCTATTTACCTGGTACATCCCAAGGCACAGAGCACTCGTCTGGGAAGTCTGCCATTTCGTATTACAGCCCTTTTGATCTTGCAGTTTGCCATCTCCAACTGTGAAAAAGACAAATCAGCATACTTGGTGATCTGCTGTCACTGCCCATCGCACGAATCCCATCAGCTCTCCCGTGGTCCCCCAAGGGCACTTCCCACAACCCACAGGGCCCCCGACCATCACCTTTCTTCAGGCAGACCTCTACCATCATAAGCCTGCCAGATTAAAATGCAGGCTTTCTACTAAAATAAAACATTTGGTAGGTTTGGTAGTAGTAAAGCACCACCACTGCTACTCTCTCTTAAGATAACAGTAGGGATAACAAGCAACCATCAGCCAGCAAAGTCTGGCTTGTTCAGAACAAAAGCATGCAAGAGATCAGCCTTAAAACAATAACCAATTCATAAACACTCGCTAAACATGCACAGCTTGTGAAGCATCTCCACGTAGAGACGCTCAAAAGTCTCAAGTCATTTTCTGTGGAATTATTGCCTAGACTTGCATCTTGCTTCCATCAGGTCAGGCTTTGCTGTCTGTTATGCAGACCTTTGAACAAGGGCGAACCGGACTACGTGCCTCTTCCTCAAAAAAAGCAACAGCACTTCAGTACACTTACATATTCCCACTGCGGCTCTGAATGAATTTCTCACCATTGTTTCAGTTGCAAGAAAGATCCACTCAAAAATACAGTTGTTAATAAGGCCACAAAGGAATACAGAATATTTATAAAACCAGTACATGTTCATAATAAAATAGGATTCTCTAGCATCTGTCACAGTTTAGATTTTTCCTCAAGGGTCTCCTGTTTTCTCATATGTGTTTCTCATACTCTTTGGCATTGGCTGGCTACTACAGCTAGGCATTTCTGAGTATCAAACATCAGACATTTCATAGAACTGCAGAAAAATTTAGGTTAGAAAGGACTTCTGAAGGTCTCTAGTTCAACATGCTACTCCAAATAGGGAGTAGCCAACTTCCAAGCTGCATCATGTGGCTCAGCTTGTCCAACTGAGTTTTGAAAATTTCCAAGGACAGCAACTCCCCACCTCTCTGGGTCCCCATTCCAGTGCTCATTCACTCTCCCAGAGTGAACATTTCTTTGTTTACATCCCATTGGAAATTCCCCTGTTGCACCTTGTGACTGTTGCCCCTCATCCTTTTACCATGAGCCTCTGAGAAGAGCCTGACTCCATCTTCTCTACAGCCCCGTTCGGCAGTGGAAGATCTCCCCAAAACAGCTTTCTCTTCTCCAGGCTCCAGATGCTCCGTTCTCCCAGTCTCTCTTCCTTTCTCCAGGGCTCCAACACCATGACCATCCCATAGGGGCCCTTCACTGGACTCGCTCCTGTTTGTCAAAATCTCTTTTGTACTGGGCAGCCCAACACCGCAGTCAGTGGCATTCTTCACATTTTCAGAGCTGGGTTACAATTGTGACCAAGACGCGGGTCTGAATTGTAGTCACGTATAAGAGCATCCTCTTTGTTTGCAAGGCTTGGGATCCTTACGTCCTCACCTCCTGACACTCACAATTCCCAAATATTTTTGTCGCACCTGTTCCCTCTACATATACACGTGTTACCTTAATATTACTCTGTGCATACAGCCTAGGCATGAACATTTTGTTTACACACACGCATATGCACTATCTAAACGATGTGCAACACGTCACAATCTAGTCTCTAAAAACAACCAGAGAAGAGGGAACAGAGAATGCACGGTTAACGGTCTGCCCAGTAACACACTCTTCCCCCGTCCTTCGGGAACCCAAAAGGAGAAGACGCCACTTAGTTCTCAAAGAGACTCTCTAAACAGGCATTCGTGAATAGTCAAAACTGAATTACGTATTTTTGCTTTTCAAAAAGCAAACACCAAGTGTCCAGAAACACAAAGGACAGTCATAGTAAGGAGCTTAGAGAAGGTGGAAGTTTTCTCCTCAGGAGCCAGCAAGGTTCCTGAGTACCCTGCAAATCATTAGAGAGAATTAACAAATTGGATTTGAGCTTTGGCCTCCTGCAACACCAGATTTAATGTCTGGGACAGAAACAAAAAGTTGTCATACCTCTAGACCTAAATCATTGTATTTGCACTCCTTCTCTGGGTGGTGAATCTGCTTGGATTTTGTTCTTAAAGATCAAGCCTACGTGGGTTAAATATTTACAAAATTTACCAAAAAAAAAAAGTTAAAAAGGGAAGAAAATCAAAATCAGTTTCCTGTGAAACAGAAGGCAAAATAAAACCTAATGTTCAGAAGGAATCTAAAGCTTCTTCCAGGGAGATCTGCTTCTACCCAACATGGTTAAAGAAAAACTATAGTCAAGCTGTTTGTTTGACTCTTGCTAGGATCAAAGTGGGTCCAAATATTTTCCTTGAAAAAAACTATTAATAAGTGAAGCACATGGCATGGGTGCATTCACTTGCAGTGAAGTGTCTTTGTAATCAAGAGCTATAAAACGATACAAAGTTAAAGCAAGGAGGGCTTAGACTCACTAGTGAGTACCTAATGAGTAACGGAGGATTTCTACAGCGCTTTACTGTCAGTATATTGATTCAGCCTGGAGTAAAAACACTTAACCAGCTGCAATTTTATAACACTTTGCTCATAACATCTGGTTCTAGGCATTTTGAGGGACTTTGCACTTCCCCCAAAATGTTACTGGTAACTGATTTTTATCACGTTTGGCAACGTAAACGGAACAGGTGACGAGCAGACGTCCACAGGCTGCTCTCTAAAATTGATTTTAACGTTACCGCTGTTTATCTTACTTGTACACACACTTGTAGCTTCCAAACGTAATCCTGATGAGTTGCAACCCCACTTGCTGGGGCTTTGCTTCCTCAGTACGATATATTTAATTACTGAGTTGATGCAACTAGTCTGAGCACTGTCCTTTTGGCCCCTGCTGTGAAGGACGCACGTTCCTTCAAGAGAGGTTTCTTCTCAGCAAAACCACTAGCCTGCATCAAGCACAACGCCCCAAGTTTCAATTTACGTAGTTGGAGAGTTTATTTGAGACTTCTTTTAACCAAGTTTCCCTCATCTGAGGAGAGTCTGCCATTTCACAAAGTTTAGTACAAAACCAGTACATTTCATTTTCTGGTAGTCAGAAACTTTTTTTCCATTTTCCTATCATGGATTTTATATGGACCTTTCGTCTGTTCTCTGCCCTCTTACTGACTAGACTTTTCCAAGAAACTGCAGCA